GGGTATCTGTAATAAATACAAATACAAAAATACTTTTATTTTTTATTATTAATAAAAAAATGACAAGCTTAAATGTATTGAGTCAATAAATATTCAACCTCTTTGTTATGGCAAGCCTAAATAAGTTCAGGAGTGAAAATGTGTTTAACAAGTCACATAATAAGTTGCAGGGACTCACTCTGTGTGCAATAATAGTGTTTAAAATGATTTTTGAATGACTACCTCATCTCTGTACCCCACACATACAATTATCTGTAAGGTCCCTCAGTCCAGCATTGAATTTCAAACACAGATTCAATCACAAAACCAGGCAGGTTTTCCAATGCCTCACAAAGAAGGGCACCTACTGGTAGATGGGTAAAAAAAAAGCAGACATTGACTATCCCTTTGAGCATGGTGAAGTTATTAATTACACTTTTGATGGTGTATCAATACACCCAGTCACTACAAAGATACAGGTGTCCTTCCTAACTCAGATGCCAGAGAGGAAGGAAACTGCTCAGGGATTTCACCATGAGGCCAATGGTGACTTTAAAACAGTTACAGCGTTTAATGGTTGTGATAGGGGAAAACTAAGGATGGATCAACAACATTGTAGTTACTCCACAATACTAACCTAAATGACAGACTGAAAATAAGGAAACCTGTACAGAATAAAAATATTCCAAAACATGCATCCTGTTTGCAATAAGGTATTAAAGTAAAACTGCAAAAAAAATTGTCAAAGAAATTAACTTTATGTCCTGAATACAAAGTATTATGTTTGGGGCAAATCCAACACAACACATCACTGTGTACCACTCTTCATATTTTCAAGCATGGTGGTGGCTGAATCATGTTATTGGTATGCTAGTCATCGGCATGGACTAGGGAGTTTTTCAGGATAAAACAAAATGGAATAGAGCTAAGCACATGCAAAATCCTTGAGGGAAACCTGGTTCAGTCTGCTTTCCAAACATACATTGGGAGACAAATGCACCTTTCAACAGGACAATAACCTAAAACACAAGGCCAAATATACACTGGAATTGCTTACTAAAATGACATTGAATGTTCCTGAGTGGCCTAGTTACAGTTTTGACTTAAATCGGCTTGAAAATCTATGCCAAGACTTGAAAATGGCCGTCTAGCAATGATTAACAACGAACTTGACAGAGCTTGAAGAATTTTAAATATTGTACAATCCAGGTGTGCAAAGCTCTTAGAGACTTACCCAGAAAGACTCACAGCTGTAATTGCTGCCAAAGGTGATTTTAACATGTATTGACTTAGGGGTGTGAATACTTAGATATTAGATAATTAGATATTTCTGTATTTCATGTTCAATAAATTAGCTAAACATTCTAAAAACATGTTTTCACTTCATTCAGTCATTATGGGGTATTGTGTGTAGATGGGTGAGAGAAAAAAAATCGATTTCACCCATTTTGAGTTCAGACTGCAACAACAAAATGTGGAATAAGTCAAGGGGTATGAATACTTTCTGAAGGCACTGTATCTGTGGTCAATATGGTGCACACTCATTAAAGTTATGCTGCCCTCACAGACTGCCCCTTATGTCTAAAAAAAAAAATTCTGAAACACAACTGTATTATATTGTATAATTGTCACCATTTGCATTCACGAATTACTGTATATAACATTTTACCATATCTAAAAATTACACATCATGGCAAATTAATTGAATAGTAATTATATCCATATCACTGTATAGGTAAGCAACCAATTGATAATAGCCAATCAAGTCTTATTTTACAGTAAATTAAATAAATAATATTTATATGAACTATTACCAACCATTTAATCGTATGAAAAAGGTCATATGCCCTGGATATTTTGCACAATAATGTTTCTTATGAATGACATACCTGAAGTTTCCAGTGAATGAAGTTAACCTCGTATCAGCCTCTTCATAGAAAACTGGTTACCCATTCTCATAGAAGTCCGCGTCTCCATTTATTTATTGACAGTGGCCGATTTCATCGACGCTTGCTACCACCACTATTTTAATGATCGCTGACTGACTGTATATCCATCCAGCATCGATCGGCTATATGGAAAAACTGTAATCAGACAAAGCATACAATCAAATGCATCCATTTATCACACATGGGTATCCATTAAAATGCTGAATTAACTTCTCGACAAACTGGAAATGTTAGATAGTTTTTAAAGTCTGCATCCAAGCTGTATTTCCAGTAGACTCTACTTCATTCACTCCGCAGCGAGTTGTCTATTCCAGCTCTCAACGTTGGACCAATCACATAAGGACTGGTTAACTCTATCAAAATTAACTATTTATTTCTCACTATCACGATCCAATAGCCCCTACACGAGTCAAATATGCAATTGTATATGCCTCAATTTAAAGTTGCCAAAAGAATCCACAGTCATTTAAAATAAATGCAGTGGCTGACAATCAGGGGTTCGGGTAAAAGTCACCCCTATAACAGATCTAGGATCAAGTTTCCCTCCCCAATTCCTGACCTTGACCATTAGGAGTAAAACTACAACACTGACCTCAGATCAGCATTGAGGCAACTTTATCCTAACCCCAGAAGAACAAGAGAAGAGTAAACTTTCAGCAATTCCCATAACATCCACTTATTAAAATGAATTATAAAAAGGAAACACTTAATTGTTAGGGGTGAGTTGCATTAATGTATGGATAACAGACTGAATAAACCTTGTTTGGACCCCAGTAATAGGGATCCTAACAAATACTGAACAACTGCATGCATACTATCAGTCAGATAGCAGACAATGAGGCATCAAATGAATAGGTGCTGCCACCCAGTGGGACTGAGATGTATCACAAGAAGCATGCTCCAAAGACATTAAATCCTTTTGGATCATGTTGTGATTGATGGTGTCTACTCTCAAGACGGTATGTATCAATGAGGAGTTGACATGTCACACCTGCCTGAGAGAATAACAAGGACATGTGTAGTAGTACAAGACAGAAATGATGATAAACACTTATTCAAAGAGGAAGTCATTTAATTTTCATGACATTTAAAACTAAATCATATTATTTCAGTTTTTCCCAATGTTTCACATAGCTCTTATTATTGAAATGTGCCTAGCCTTTACAAAATAAGAACAAGCTCTGAAGTAATAGGATATCCAGTCCTTGAATTACTGCATCATTCCTTTATACAGAAAAAGGAGTAATAGATTTAAACATTTACATAATTTCATTTTGTTCTTTATAAAATTAAAATTACATAATCTCTTAAAAGTGTCTTTATATTTTCCTCAATAAAAATAAAACTTGTAGAAGTAGTGAGTGATCTAAACTAGATGAAGCCTGAGAATTAGCTTATAAGTCAGCGCAGATTTGATATAACTGGTGCGGCCTTGAAGTGTAGAAAGCCATCGTTGTTTGAGTCAGTTATGTCAGACTGGCCATTCCTCTACCCACATCAACTCATTCTCCATTGTAACCCAGATGGGGAAGCATCCCCTCCGCATCAGAGATGACTAGAGGAGGGAGCAAGAAGATGATGATGATGTAACAGTAGAGGAAGTGGTTATCAACTGGGAACAGTACTACATTGTGCAGAGAGGTATGGAGACGATGTATATAACCAGGTTAGGATGTAATGAAACAGTCTAGTTTAAATTTAACAACGGAATGGTATGAGACTATATCTGTAACATATTCTAACTGATTTCACTACAGATCACATATGTTTCCGCAACAGCAGCTGGTATGTAACCAAGATAATGAGAATGTACACCAATGACCTGCTTAGTGTAGTAGGAGAGGGTTGTCTCTGTTCTAGTGACAGCTGTCTAGATAAGTGTGCTATCAGTGTGACCATTGGGAGAGTTCAAATACTGTAACTTCTTATTTAAGAGGCTCCTCTGTCCTCCACTCGTTACCTGTATTAATGGCACCTGTTTGAACTTGTTATCAGTATAAAAGACACCTGTTCACAACCTCAAACAGTCACACTCCAAACTCCACTATGGCCAAGACCAAAGAGCTGTCAAAGGACACCAGAAACAAAATTGTAGACCTGCACCAGGCTGGGAAGACTGAATCTGCAATAGGTAAGCAGCTTGGTTTGAAGAAATCAACTGTGGGAGCAATTATTAGGAAATGGAAGACATACAAGACCACTGATAATCTCCCTCGATCTGGGGCTCCACGCAAGATCTCACCCCGTGGGGTCAAAATGATCACAAGAACGGTGAGCAAAAATCCCAGAACCACACAGGGGGACCTAGTGAATGACCTGCAGAGAGCTGGGACCAAAGTAACAAAGCCTACCATCAGTAACACACTACGCCGCCAGGGACTCAAATCCTGCAGTGCAAGACGTGTCCCCCTGCTTAAGCCAGTACATGTCCAGACCCGTCTGAAGTTTGCTAGAGTGCATTTGGATGATCCAGAAGAGGATTGGGATAATGTCATATGGTCAGATGAAACTTTTTGGTAAAAGCTCAACTCGTCGTGTTTGGAGGACAAAGAATGCTGAGTTGCATCCAAAGAACACCATACCTACTGTGAAGCATGGGGGTGGAAACATCATGCTTTGGGGCTGTTTTTCTGCAAAGGGACCAGGACGACTGATCCGTGTAAAGGAAAGAATGAATGGGGCCATGTATCGTGAGATTTTGAGTGAAAACCTCCTTCCATCAGCAAGGGCATTGAAGATGAAACGTGGCTGGGTCTTTCAGCATGACAATGATCCCAAACACACCGCCCGGGCAACAAAGGAGTGGCTTCGTAAGAAGCATTTAAAGGTCCTGGAGTGGCCTAGCCAGTCTCCAGATCTCAACCCATAGAAAATCTTTGGAGGGAGTTGAAAGTCCGTGTTGCCCAGCGAGATAAATGAGCTTGGCAACAATATACAGAGGGGGGGGGAAATAATATTGCTGCCTTAACCAACTGATGGGAGGGAAGCCTCATGAACCTCCAACTAGCAGGTGATATGCACTCCATGATTCTAACAATCACAGATACTGTAGGTGCTGATTATGTGTGGTAGGAGGTTATGAGTTACACAGGTTAAGGTTGGGGTGGGTACGGAACAAGATCAATCGTAAAAAAACATGACATGTGACTGAAAGAGCAATGGCCACTGCCCACATTGTTATTAAAAGGGCAGACAACTTTTAGTGTCCTTTTGAGACACTGTCGCTAAAATCAAAATCCCATGTCTTTAAATGATATCACACATTCATTGCCGTTTAAAGCATTGCTGAATACTCCACACGTTTCCGTGGGAGGAATCGATACATAAAACCATTTTAGGAGTAAATGTCTTCTTTTTTTTTTTGCTTCGCTGATAGGTAGCCTGATGAGGATTGCTTTCCCCTCCTCATCCTTAAAGCATCAGGAATTACATGACAAACTCAAATTAAAACCTTTACAACCATTGTGGCCAAACAAGTGAGATCAGTGGTGCGGAGATCATCATCACTATCAACATAATTATCCTTATTTACATGTTTATTATGACTTACATTCTTTAAAGTAATCGGAGCCCTGTGAGAGCTCTGGCACAAGTGTGGGAAGCCCGCTAAAGCTTTTTTTATACACAAGCAATAAAACAGAAATGTTCCAAAGGCTTTCTCTCTCTTTTCAGCTTCAAATAGGCCCAGAAGCTGCTCCTAAAGGACTGGACCTGTCCAGAGTAGCCTTGCAACATGCCAGCACAAAACCGTATTTCCAGTATGTTGTTTCTTTCTTCTTCCTCTGCCTCCACAGACAGGCATCAGTGAGTCAGAGGAGGAGGACAGCATAGTATCAGGCCCTGTGGGTCCCTTTCAGGCAGCAGTAGCATCTCAACAACAACAGAAAGGGTCTAATCATAGTCTGTGCCTTCACATCCGACTTTATTTAATCTCTCTGCTCTCTCATCCATGTCCACCTTATTACAAAGCCTTGCCTTGCCGTGCAGTGTGATGAAGATGATCGTTAAGGTCGCTCTGTGCAGTTGGGGATTTACTTTGAATATAGCCTCATATCCTCTGGATATGCTCCTGTAGAGGCAGGGGGCAGGGAGGTGGGGGAGTCTGTTGGTACAGCAGGGGTCAGATGCCAGTCTTGTCGCTGTAGAACGGTGTGACGTGGAACATGTAGCAGTGCGTACACACCCTGACAGGCTTCACCTGGCCGTACCGCGGTAACGGGGCTGAGTGGGAGGAGCAGCGAGAGCAGAAGATCTGAAATGACACGTAGAACAAACAAGGTATATTCGATTGTTATCCATTTATTTTACATAGTACAATACTTAAAGAGATCTGTGCAGGTGTTCTTTGTGTTACCTTGCCACAGCTCCTACAGTGGTGCTTCCTGCGGATGACGGTGAAGGGGGCTTTACAGGCGATGCAGGAGTCGCATTCCTCATCAGGCACCCAGTCTGGGGGATCTACAGGGAAAAGCAGGGGCACATTAATAGTGCTGCTTGTTTATTCATGTCACTTTTCATGCATGTCATGTGTGTATGTCATTTTTGAGGAGAAATGGGAGGTGCTAACCTTCGAACTGTCCCTCCCGGGCCTTGGCTGCCAGCTCCGAGGAAGAGATGGTCTCCTGACAGAGAGCACAGTCCTCCAGCACGGCGCTGCGCAGCCCAGGACCTGCTGCACCACACAGAGCACAGCCGTGTCATAACCATGGTCATTCTGTCAATATACAGTACATTACAGAATAACATACTGGGAGAAGTACACTAAGATCCTTGACATTACTGCAAGTCAATATAAATATTCTCACCTTTCTGCTTGTCATTGTCCCCTTGCTCAGAGGTAGCCATGACTTCAAACAGTGTCTTCAGGATGCTTCGAAGGTCAGCCGCGTAGTTTGTCTGCAGTTGGTCAGCAACACCTGGGGGTCAAGGGGTCAAGAGGAATCAGTGAGATGCAAGGAAACTGTGGTGCAAATGTGGTACATATGATAAGAGCAAAGCCCAGTAGGCTAGTGTATTGTGGAACACAGTGTAAAACCTTTGGAGGTTAGTTTATTAGGATCCCTATTAGCTACTGCACATGCAGCAGCTACTCTTCCTATGGTCCACATAAAACATACAAATACATGACAAAGTACAGAACAGTTATAGACAATGATATGAAAAAATAAATATACAAATAGTTATAAACTCAGCAAAAAAAGAAACGTAACTTCACAGATCTTCATCGTAAAGGGTTTAAACACTGTTTCCCATGCTTGTTCAATGAACCATAAACAATTAATGAACATGCACCTGTGGAACGGTCGTTAAGAGATTAACAGCTTACAGACGGTAGGCAATTAAGGTCACAGTTATGAAAACTTAGGACACTAAAGAGGCCTTTCTACTGACTCTGAAAAACATAAAAAGAAAGATGCCCAAGGTCCCTGCTCATCTGTGTGAACGTGCCTTAGGCATGCTGCAAGGAGGCATGATAACTGCAGATGTGGCCAGGGCAATAAATTGCAATGTCCGTACTGTGAGACGCCTAAGACAGCGCTACAGGGAGACAGGACGGACAGCTGATCGTCCTCGCAGTGGCAGACCACGTGTAACAACACCTGCACAGGATTGGTACATCCCAACATCACACCTGCGGGACAGGCACAGGATGGCAACAACAACTGCCCGAGTTACACCAGGAACGCACAATCCCTCCATCAGTGCTCAGACTGTCCGCAATAGGCTGAGAAAGGCTGGACTGAGGGCTTGTAGGCTTGTTGTAAGACATCCAATACCGGCAACAACGTCGCCTATGGGCACAAACCCACCGTTGCTGGACCAGACAGGACAGGCAAAAAGTGCTCTTCACTGACGAGTCGCGGTTTTGTCTCACCAGGGGTGATGGTCGGATTTTCGTTTATCGTTGAAGGAATGAGTGTTACACCGAGGCCTGTACTCTGGAGCGGGATCGATTTGGAGTTGGAGGGTCCGTCATGGTCTGGGGTGGTGTGTCACAGCATCATCGGACTGAGCTTGTTGTCATTGCAGGCAATCTCAAAGCTGTGCGTTACAGGGAAGACATCCTCCTCCCTCATGTGGTACCCTTCCTGCAGGCTCATCCTGACATGACCATCCAGCATGACAATGCCACCAGCCATACTGCTCGTTCTGTGCGTGATTTCCTGCAAGACAGGAATGTCAGTGTTCTGCCATGGCCAGCGAAGAGCCCGGATCTCAATCCCATTGAGCACGTCTGGGACCTGTTGGATCGGAGGGTGAGGGCTAGGGCCATTCCCCCCAGAAATGTCTGGGAACTTGCAGGTGCCTTGGTGGAAGAGTGGGGTAACATCTCACAGCAAGAACTGGCAAATCTGGTGCAGTCCATGAGGAGGAGATGCACTGCAGTACTTAATGCAGCTGGTGGCCACACCAGATACTGAATGTTACTTTTGATTTTGACCCCCCCTTTGTTCAGGGACACATTATTCAATTTCTATTAGTCACATGTCTGTGGAACTTGTTCAGTTTATGTCTCAGTTGTTGAATCTTGTTATGTTCATACAAATATTTACACATGTTAAGTTTGCTGAAAATAAACGCAGTTGACAGTGAGAGGATGTTTCTTTTTTTGCTGAGTTTATATTCGAAAGACACCAAGGGACAACAAAAATACTATTTACACATCATTCATAATCTTATATACAGTTAAATTAGATCTTTAGAAAGAGGAGAGGCGCTGTGATACAATATGTTTTTTAACATTTGTTTTTAAAGCTAAACTTTATTTTTGCCTGAGTAACCTCTGGTGGCAGAGCATTCCAGGATGATATGGCTCTATACATAACTAAGCGATGCAATAAATCTGTTTTTGGTTTGGGTACCATGAAGAAACCCATAGTGGTGTGTCTGGTGGGGTATGGATGTCTGTTTGAAGTTAATGCAAATAGATTATACAAGTGGTTACGCATTTCCAACACACAAATGTTTCTTATAAAGACTAGAAGAGAAGTAGTGAATTTCTCCTCAACCCTCAACCATGAAAAACTATCATGCATGTTGTTGATGTTAGTTCTGTGTGCGCAGTTAAGGGCAAGCAAGGCATGCTGCTTTGTTTTGAGCCAGCTGCAACTTTGATAGGTCTTTCTTTGCTACACTTGACCATATTACCAGACAGTAATCAAGATTGGACAAGATCAAAGCCTGAACAACTAGTACAGTTGATCTGTGTGTCAAAAACACAGAACATCTTTTTATAACAGACATACCTCTCCCCATCTTCACAACAACTTTGTCAATATGACTTGACCTTCATAACTGACTATCCAATGTTGTACCTAGGACTTCAACTTCTTCAACTTGTTCAATGGTCACACCCTTTATGTAAAACTCCAGTTGAGGTTGAGGTCTAAGAGGATGGTTTTAGATGTATTTAAGACCAGTTTATTACTCATTCTGACACTGACTGTAACTCCTTGCTAAGAGTCTCAGTGAGCCCACTGGCTGTGGGTGCTGATGTGTAGTGTGCAATCATCAGCATACATAGTCATTTCAGCTTCTTGTAAGACTAGCGGCAAATCATTTGTAAAAATAGAGAAGAGTAATGGAGTACTATGGAGTGGCATGAAGAGGAGTGCACACTGATTAAAGCAATAAAATACTGATTTCATTGTCTTTCAGAGTAAAAATAACCAAAACATGAGAAACATTGACTGATTCACCCGATCAAACCACAGATACACCCTTGGAGAGAGAGTAATATCCTTGGACAGACAGACAGACAGTCGAGAGAGAGAGAAATATCCTTGGACAGAGAGACAGTCGAGAGAGAGAGACAGTCGAGAGAGAGAGAGACAGTCGAGAGAGAGAGAGAGAGAGAGAGAGAGAGATAAATATCCTTGGACAGACAGACAGTCGAGACAGACAGACAGAGAGAGAGAGAGAGAGAGAGAGAGAGAGAGAGATACCCGATATGCAGACGAAGAGGCGGTGGATGAGGTCACTGCTGCTGTGGAAGCGCGAGCGGATCTTGTTCCTGGTGGCCATCTTAGCAGCCTGCAGGGCCAGCTGGATCTCATGGTGGTCCAGATCCTCTGACGTCCCTGAGCTCATGGTCAGACTGCTGACAGGGCTGGAGGACAGAGGGGGAGCGCACGTACGAGAGAGAGAGAGAGAGTGTGAGCAGGAGAGAGAGAGATCCAGTGAAGGGAGAGGGAGAATGGAGGGAGAGAGGCAGAGGAGGGACTGTCACATTGTCATTCTTATAAACACAGAAACACTGTTCACCAAAATATTGTCTACTGTACTTGAATATGCATCGTACTATAGGGGTTGTGGTTGATTTCAATCTCAACAATGAGTGAAATAGAGGTTAATTGCAAGGGTTATAGTAATACCATAAGCTGTAACATGGGGATGTATGAAACAGAAACACACGGCCAGTGGTTACCTGGCTGTATAAGCACTGCTGGACAGACTACATGTGGTGACAGACACACTCTCACAGTCACTACTGGAGACTGAGCTGAGAGGAGAGTCCTGAAAAAAACTGGGAATGAATCATTAAATTAAATAATAAACCGATAACATATGGGCAACATAAAACGGCATCTGTGAACGTTATGATTGGAACAAAAGTAGCATAAAGGCAAGTGCAAATAGCAACTAGAACATCAAACACAATCAACAAGTGGATGACAAGATGTGGGTTAAATTAGCCAGAGGGACGTGGAGGAAGTTTGCTTTCCACAGATATGTAAATGACTGTTGTTGAGGCCTACCTGCTTTGAAGTGGAGCGCTGAAAACACATCATCCAATCACACACCTATAGTACATGTGCTCATACCTAGTGTTGTTCTTGCTCTCTTCCTTGGACTCCCCGTCTGCCTCTCTGGTCCCCGTCCTGTCCCTGTCCCTTCCCCTGCTGGCCTGAGGCCTCCTCACTGTCCTCCACTGGTGGACACAGGGCTCTGGGGCTCCCCTTACTCCATTGGGGCTGCTGTCCTGGCCCAGGCCCTGCTGAGGTCCTGGGGCCACCACCACCTGGCACTTGTCACAGCGCTGGTCCCCTTCCTCCTCCCCTGGAGGTGGCTCTGAGGAGCAGCGGGAGGAGGGGGGCATCAGCTGGGGGGGAGAGTCCCCCTTCCCATGTAGGTTGTGTCCTGAGGAGGCCAGGCGACAGGCAGAGGACTGGATGACAGGGCTGTGTGGCGGAGGGGGCTTGCAGTGTTTGTCCAACCCCAGGCCCATCCCCAGCCCTGTGGTGTCCATGGTGAGGGTGTCATCATGGCCCTCTTCACAGCTGCCGCAGCAGACACAGGAGTTGAGCAGGCAGTGGGTGGCCACCAGGGGGCCACAGGGCTCTGTCTCTGAGGAGGAGGGGGGGTGGGGCAGGAGCAGCTTGTCCACAGCCAGCTCAGTCAGGCTGGGGGAGCCGGGGTTGAAGATGACCGTGGCCGAGAGCTTCATCCCTCCCATACGGTGTGCGATGACTTCAGCAGTCTCGCCCCCCTCCAGGCCCACCTCCCAGCCATTAGTATAGGGCAGGGGCTCCAGGCCGGGTCGCTTGGTGCTGGGGCACTGTGGGGGCAGGTTTTGGGGCTGCTGGGACGGATCTGACTGAGCGTCAGTGGGCCAGCCATTCCTGGTTGAGTCTGTCAGGGGGCCAGGCCTGCGGGGCTGAGGCGAGGAGGGCTGAGGGGCTTTGGAAGGCGAGGTCAGACGGCTACTGGTCACAATGTCCCCTCCTGCGTCCAGGTCCTCCATGAAGAAGACTCTGTCCTCCTCCTCTTGGTAGAGACCTGTTCTGCCCCGGCCCACCAGGACCCGGAGGGGGGAGGCTTCGGTGCTGGAGCCCCCGCTGGAGCCCCCTCTGTTGGGGCGGTGGGCCGGGGACTGGCCCTGGCTGGGAGGGGACAGCAGCGTGGACATCTCGTCCCCCACACGGTACACCATCATGTTGAGCTGTTCGATCTCTTCCTCATCATATTGCATTGAGCATGCCAGGTCTGCCTCCTCCACCTCCTCACACAGAGAACCCTGCTCCTTCGCCCGCTTCACCTCCTCCCACTCCCGGTCCTCCTCCTGGATGTGGGAAATGCACAGAGACAGCACCTCCTGCTGCTGCTCCTTCTCGCTCCCCCCTCGGGGGTGTCGCTGGTGGGGCTGCTGGATGAGGGGGGGTCTGGGGTGATGGTGGGGGCTGGGGTGGGGGGGCGCTCAGGGACCAAAGGGAACTCCCCGTCCTGAGAGATACAAAGGCTCCGCTCCAGCGTCAACAACTCCTCCTCTGACAGGGTCTGCAGCAGGTCCCTATGGGAATAACACAACCTTAACAACATACTTACCAGCCTAAAAAGATCACTCAATGAGGATGATAGTGCGCCATGACCTTTAGATTGTTTGCCCAGGTTCTTGAGACTGACGTTCAAAAGATTGTTGTGAAGATTGACAGCGCTATTTTCTACCTATGATTAAATACAGAGGACAATCTATATGTGTATCCTCTTAACGGTACCTGATCTTCTTCAGTAAAGTGCGAAAAGGCCGGAGGAGCTCAGACATGTCCTCTGGTTTCCTATCCAGGTTAAGCGGACCTTCACAGTACACCACCAGACCACTGAGGGACAGACAGGGGGATTATAACATGTTTTTACTGTCAGAGAGTTCTAGGAAGAAGAGGAAGAGGAGAAAACACTTACCACACAATGGCTAGTCTGGGGATGGTAAACATCAGAGCGGGTTCATAGTCATCGATCATGTCTTGGCTGAGATAGCCCAGCTTGAGTGCCCTGAGACAAACAACAAAGATGAGAGGCTGTGAAATAATACTGGCCAACCAAAACCCTGCATGCATGGAGTACCATGTCTGAAACTTCCTGGACTTTCCCATGTGACATCACTCGTCTCTATTCCTCTGTGGCCTCCCCATACAACTCACCTCTCCACAGTCTCACAGAAGAGCACAATCACCTCCTGCTGAACATAGTATTCTTTGGAAGACTTCACAGGCACCATGGCTGACACATAGCTGACAGAAGAGGAGATAGAGGGAATTGTGTAAAAAAAAAAAAAAAAACGTAAATACAGTCAAATATGTTGTAGTTGATGATGTCCAAAACCTAAAGATGTTGATGTCCTATAGCTACCTGAGCTCAAACTCAGCGAAGAGGCTGTCGAAGTGGCGCAGCGCGTCCCTCATGCGGTCGGTGTAGAAGTTGAGGTCTCTGAGGGCCTGGTCTCGCGTGATGTTGCGGACCTCCTCCAGACTACGGGTCAGGTCCTTGGCTAGAGGCCTCATGGCCATGCTCTCTAGCTCCCTGTTCATGATGATGGAGCCTGCAGCCAGACACTACACACACAGATGGAGAGAGAAGGGAATGACTGGAGTTATTTATCCAGGTTAGTCTCATTAAGACTTGGTTGTCTATGTGCAAGGGATTAACACAAGGAATAATGAGTTCGGCTATATAACGATACACCTTTACATAGCGAGAACTTCTTTAAGAGTGCCTATAGTTATTGTGGTGTGAGATGATACTGGACGGCATACAGTACAGTACCTCAGCCCCAAACCACAGCTGTCCTGCCAGGTTGTCATGGCGAATCTCCTCTGGGAACTTGACACAGAAGTCTCTGTTGGCTCTGTCACCAGGGATACATTCATCCATGATCTGGTTGATAATGTTCAACACATTGTCCTGCAGACACAGGGAGTGACTAAATTAGTGGATAAATGTACTGAATGAAAAAGGCCAGTCAATATATTTTTTCCTGTTGGGTGAACGACTGGAAACAGAGCAAAAGAACACATGTTTTCTAATAATGTTTCACAAACTACTCATGTAAATCCTCTAACTCAATATCACCCTCTACATGTAGTGTCTTGAAGACATGCACCGGACATTTTGCAGCTACTAAGTATTTTTTTAACTTCCCGCTTTGAGCTGGATTTGTCAATGTGTAGTTCATATGCATAATCTATGAGCAGAATTACTCTCTTACCTCAATTTGCCACGAAATCCCTAGCTAGCAAGATGCACACACAGCAGAGCGAGAAAGAGACCAATGACGTGGTGTACATATCTGCACATACTGTACGTGACGTAGTACGCCATTTTCGGGGACCACTTTTGTCTCCTAAGCGCTACTTTCAGAACTACTGGCGAAAAGGTATACAACTGTACCGGAGAATCCCTTTAAACAGGGAATAGGCTGAAAACAATTAGACAGACCCATGGCCAGAACGGTCACATTATAGCCCTCAGTCACAACTTAATTCCCCCTCAATAAAAAAAAAAACACAACTAAATCCCATAATTGCAGCGGTGCAAACACATTGGCACAAAGCGAGAGCTTTATCAAAGCTTGTGTGCCGGGACGTCAACAAGCTATCGTGTATGGCTGAGAGGGGACAGGAGATAGGCGAGAAAGATACGCAATGGAGGAGGAGAGACAGAGAGAGAGGAGGAGAGCAGCGAGAAGTAGAGGAAAGAGAGCTAGATCATAGAGGAGCGAGAGGAAGAGAGAGAGAGAGAGAGGAGAGAGCTAGAGAGGGAGCGAGAGAGAGAGAGAGAGCGAGAGAGAGAGAGAGAAGAGCTATGCGAGAGAGCTACTCGCTCTGAGAGATCTCGCTCGAGAGAGCATAGAGAGAATGAGAAGCGAGCAGCCATCCCGATCATCCCTCTCTATCTCGCATCACCCTCATGCACTCCCTCCCTCACCCTCCCTCCCCTCCTCCCTCCTCCCCTCCCTCCCTCCCTCCCTCCCCCCCCTCTGGCCATAGTATTGTATGGTACACTACAGCTAGGTCTAATCTTGACCACTATCAGCCCTCATCACAGAAAATGACATTGGGATGATACCTACAGTAGCTGCAGATCGAGAGCTTGCTCGCTCTACACTCCTACCCTCTAGGTTTCTGCTTTGCTCTCTCTTCTTTTATCTCTTTTACTGTTAATCTGTCTCTGTCTCCTTCCCTCGCTCCCTATCCGCTCCTGCAGTCCATGCAGTGAGAGCAACCACGCCAACATAACTTGAGCAGCTTGGCACCCCAGTGAAGCCCATGGCCACGAATAAGGAGCTCATAAGAGCTACATTAGGGTCGAGCAGACAACTCTGCACAGTCAGACCACTTGCCTTCCATTCTGGGGTTCTCAGGTATACAGGGTATTATGAAAGCATGCTGGTAACATTGTGTTTCTTGTCTTCACGAGGTAGCCTAAACCAAAATACTTTTCTAACCATGGGATTTAAAAGTATAGCAAATATATTACACATTAAACTGCAACTTGAAAAGTGAAAGTGTTTCGCATTACTGAGTGTGTAAGCAAAACACTGACTGAGACTAAGAGGCAGCGCAGCTTCCCTGAAGCATTCTTATTTTCCTTTAGGGGGAGATATGGAATGAGCCAAACCCGGAATGATATTTCTCAGTTGCTGAAAATGTCCTGCAGTCAGCTAAAAGCCTTTCTTTCGTTTTACGAAGCACATCATAATGTACAGCTAACACACAGACCACAGCACGGCGTGGTCAATTTAAAGCTGCAATATGTAACTTTTTGGGTGACCCCACCAAATAGAAGTGTGTGTTAAAGATCTGTCATTCTCATTGAAACCAAGTGTAAGAAGCGGTACATCTGTTCTGTGTGCTATTTCTATGCTTCCCGTTTTTAAGTTTAGTGTTTGCATATTTTACTTTCGGTTTTGTACACCAGCTTCAAAACAGATGAAAATACAATATTTTTGGTTATGGAAAATATATTTCACAGTACAATGATTCTCTACACTATACTTGCTTGTTTTGTCACATAAACTGAAATTAGGCGAACTATTAGAATTTTTGCAACAAGGAAATGGCGGAGAGATATCTGCATAGTGCATCTTTAAGGTGTCAATGAAGCGAGCGAAAGACGAAGAGAGGAGGGCCAATGAGAGCATGGAATGGAGAAAGGGAGCAAGGAGGTGGGTGGGAGGGAGGGATAGAGAGAGAGAAATTGAAGAGAGGGAAAGCAGATAGATATCAAGTAGTGACCTTATTAGAAGCACCCCCCCCCCCCCCCCCCCCCCTCAGGGCCCTGGGTGCACTAGGCTCATGCATGGTGGTGGGCCTGCTAACGACCTCTCTCAGTCTGCCCCCCTGAACATCACCCCAGCAGGCAGCAGCCATCAACTCACACAGTCCCGACCCCACACGCCTCACCACATATCTGGAGGATGAATAGTATATAAATGTCAAAGTCCCCCGACTCCAAATCGACACAATGGCCTACCATCTGTCATGTGACAGGTCTCAGACAGAGACAAATACAGTATGTTTGTGTGGCGGATAACCTTTATCTCCTGTCAAGCATGCTAATATCCTATAGTTGATATACATAACATTGACATATCAAGTCATACAACAACAACCTGACAGTCAACACTTCACTCTGACCCCATACTGCCTGAAAACATCAAACCAGGTGTGTCATGATATAATATCTCTAGATAAAAGCCTTCCAAAGATGTCACTCATCCAAGCATTCAGTCCTGACCTAGATAACAGCAACACAACCTACTCACAACCTGATAAGGGCAAACAAAACAACAACAAAATGTGACAAGATAATCACCTGCTTCCACCCAGAGGGACTCCTTATCTCACCTTGTCCCTGTGAGCCGGATTGATTTAAGGGCCCGTCCAATCATACAACCCCTACCATATTAGCCAACCATATCAGGCTTTTTGTGGTTCAAACTCCACTCAGGAGTAAAAAATAAATGATCCTCTAAACTCAAAAACACATCCATTTAACGGGCAAACACTTGAATTCTTGTAGTAGTTTTAAACATTTGAGGTCAAACTCAAACTTCAATACTTGAACTCTCACTCACTTTGCTTGGCGGATTATTTAAGTGCTCGCTGTCAAAAAGGGTTATAGCATTACCTCATAAAATGTCTGTGATGGATTTGTATTAATTGATGGAGTTTGAAGTCAAAGAAATTAGAAACATGGCGAAACGAAACTATAAAAGACTTGCTCTAGAATTGTAGCCCTAGTCCGAGGGTATTCAAATGAACCAGTGTCAGTCCCTATAGATTCTTACCTGACAGGATCTGAACTGGTTGACCAGCAGGGTACACCTCTGAGGGTCCTTCCTGCCATCCAGGCTGTCCAGTTCTGTGGCCACTTGGTTGAGCTCCTCATCAGCATAGTAGAACTGGGCCAGGAGCTGAGGGTCCGTCCTCTGCAGAGAGAGCGATTGGAGAGGAGAGGTTAAATAAAGGACTTCACATGTAGAGAGTAGACGTAGAGTTTTTGGGACCGAGAGACTGAAAAACAGCTTCTATGTCAAGGCCATCAGACTGTTAAATAGTCACCACTAGCCGACTCCCACCCAGTACCCTGCCCTGAACTTTAGTCACTGTCACTAGCCGGCTACCACCCGGTTACTCTACCATGCACCTTAGAGGCTGCTGCCCTACGTACATAGTCATGGAACACTGGTCACTTTAAATCAATGTTATATACTGTATTCTAGTGAAGGCCTATCCTATTCAACTATAACTATTGACGGACATACAGTGAGGGAAAAAAGTATTGGATCCCCTGCTGATTTTGTACGTTTGCCCACTGACAAAGAAATTATCAGTCTATAATTTTAATTGTAAAAAAAATCCAGAAAAACAAATGTCAAAAATTGATTTGCATTTTAATGAGGGAAATAAGTATTTGACCCCCTCTCAATCAGAAAGATTTCTGGCTCCCAGGTGTCTTTTATACAGGTAACGAGCTGAGATTAGGAGCAGACTCTTAAAGGGAGTGCTACTAATCTCAGCTTGTTACCTGTATAAAAGACACCTGTCCACAGAATCAATCAATCAATCAGATTCCAAACTCTCCACCATGGCCAATACCAAAGAGCTCTCCAAGGATGTCAGGGACAAGATTGTAGACCTACACAAGGCTGGAATGGGCTACAAGACCATTGCCAAGCAGCTTGGTGAGAAGGTGACAACAGTTGGTGCGATTATTCGCAAATGGAAGAAACACAAAATAACTGTCAATCTCCCTCGGCCTGGGGCTCCGTGCAAGATCTCACCTCGTGGAGTTGCAATGATCATGAGAACGGTGAGGAATCAGCCCAGAACTACACGGGAGGATCTTGTCAATGATCTCAAGGCAGCTGGGACCATAGTCACCAAGAAAACAATTGGTAACACACTGCGCCATGAAGGACTGAAATCCTGCAGCGCCCGCAAGGTCCCCCTGCTCAAGAAAGCACATATACATGCCCGTCTGAAGTTTGCCAATGAACATCTGAATGATTCAGAGGAGAACTGGGTGAAAGTGTTGTGGTCAGATGAGACCAAAATTGAGCTCTTTGGCATCAACTCAACTCGCCGTGTTTGGAGGAGGAGGAATGCTGCCTATGACCCCAAGAACACCATCCCCACCGTCAAACATGGAGGTGGAAACATTATGCTTTGGGGGTGTTTTTCTGCTAAGGGGACAGGACAACTTCACCGCATCAAAGGGACGATGGACGGGGCCATGTACCGTCAAATCTTGGGTGAGAACGTCCTTCCCTCAGCCAGGGCATTGAAAATGGGTCGTGGATGGGTATTCCAGCATGACAATGACCCAAAACACACGGCCAAGGCAACAAAGGAGTGGCTCAAGAAGAAGCACATTAAGGTCCTGGAGTGGCCTAGCCAGTCTCCAGACCTTAATCCAATAGAAGATCTGTGGAGGGAGCTGAAGGTTCGAGTTGCCAAACGTCAGCCTCGAAACCTTAATGACTTGGAGTAGATCTGCAAAGAGGAGTGGGACAAAATCCCTACTGAGATGTGTGCAAACCTGGTGGCCAATTACAAGAAACATCTGACCTCTGTGATTGCCAACAAGGTATTTTGCCACCAAGTACTAAGTAATGTTTTGCAGAGGGTTCAAATACATATTTCCCTCATTAAAATGCAAATCAATTTATAACATTTTTGACATGCGTTTTTCTGGATTTTTTTGTTGTTATTCTGTCTCTCACTGTTCAAATAAACCTACCATTAAAATTATAGACTGATCATGTCTTTGTCAGTGGGCAAACGTACAAAATCAGCAGGGGATCAAATACTTTTTTCCCCTCACTGTATACTATTCCTCAGATACAGTGGGGGAAAAAAGTATTTAGTCAGCCACCAATTGTGCAAGTTCTCCCACTTAAAAAGATGAGAGTGGCCTGTAATTTTCATCATAGGTACACGTCAACTATGACAGACAAATTGAGGAAAAAAAATCCAGAAAATCACATTGTAGGATTTTTTATGAATTTATTTGCAAATTATGGTGGAAAATAAGTATTTGGTCAATAACAAAAGTTTCTCAATACTTTGTTATATACCCTTTGTTGGCAATGACACAGGTCAAACGTTTTCTGTAAGTCTTCACAAGGTTTTCACACACTGTTGCTGGTATCTTGGCCCATTCCTCCATGCAGATCTCCTCTAGAGCAGTGATGTTTTGGGGCTGTCGCTGGGCAACACGGACTTTCAACTCCCTCCAAAGATTTTCTATGGGGTTGAGATCTGGAGACGTTGCCCGGGCGGTGTGTTTGGGATCATTGTCATGCTGAAAGACCCAGCCACGTTTCATCTTCAATGCCCTTGCTGATGGAAGGAGGTTTTCACTCAAAATCTCACGATACATGGCCCCATTCATTCTTTCTTTTACACGGATCAGTCGTCCTGGTCCCTTTGCAGAAAAACAGACCCAAAGCATGATGTTTCCACCCACATGCTTCACAGTAGGTATGGTGTTCTTTGGATGCAACTCAGCATTCTTTGTCCTCCAAACACGACGAGTTGAGTTTTTACCAAAAAGTTCTATTTTGGTTTCATCTGACCATATGACATTCTCCCAATCCTCTTCTGGATCATCCAAATGCACTCTAGCAAACTTCCGACGGGCCTGGACGTACTGGCTTAAGCAGGGGGACACGTCTGGCACTGCAGGATTTGAGTCCCTGGCGGCGTAGTGTGTTACTGATGGTAGGCTTTGTTACTTTGGTCCCAGCTCTCTGCAGGTCATTCACTAGGTCCCTCTGTGTGGTTCTGGGATTTTTGCTCACCGTTCTTGTGATCATTTTGACCCCACGGGGTGAGATCTTGCGTGGAGCCCCAGATCGAGGATGATTATCAGTGGTCTTGTATGTCTTCCATTTCCTAATAATTGCTCCCACAGTTGATTTCTTCAAACCAAGCTGCTTACCTATTGCAGATTCAGTCTTCCCAGCCTGGTGCAGGTCTACAATTGTGTTTCTGGTGTCCTTTGACAGCTCTTTGGTCTTGGCCATAGTGGAGTTTGGAGTGTGACTGTTTGAGGTTGTGGACAGGTGTCTTTTATACTGATAACAAGTTCAAACAGGTGCCATTAATACAGGTAACGAGTGGAGGACAGAGGAGCCTCTTAAAGAAGAAGTTACAGGTCTGTGAGAGCCAGAAATCTTGCTTGTTTGTAGGTGACCAAATACTTATTTTCCACCATAATTTGCAAATAAATTCATTAAAAATCCTACAATGTGATTTTCTGGATTTTTTTCCCTCAATTTGTCTGTCATAGTTGACGTGTACCTATGATGAAAATTACAGGCCTCTCTCATCTTTTTAAGTGGGAGAACTTGCACAATTGGTGGCTGACTAAATACTTTTTTTCCCCACTGTATATTACATATCTATCCATATACTGTCCATATTGTCTATACATCTCATCACATACAGTATATATACGCTACCAGTCAAAAGTTTGGACACACCTACTCATTCAAGGGTTTTTCTTTATTTTTACTATTTTTCACATTGTAGAATAATAGTGAAGACATCAAAACTATGAAATAACACACATGGAATCATGTAGTAACCAAATAAGTGTTAAACAAATCAAAATATATTTTATATTTGAGATTCTTCAAATAGACACCCTTTGCCTTGATGACAGCTTTGCACACTCTTGGCATTCTCTCAACCAGCTTCATGTGGTCCTCTGTAGCTCAGCTGGTAGAGCACGGCGCTTGTAACGCCAAGGTAGTGGGTTCGATCCCCGGGACCACCCATACACAAAAAAAACGTATGCACGCACGACTGTAAGTCGCTTTGGATAAAAGCGTCTGCTAAATGGCATATTATTATTATTTTATTATTATAGTCACCTGGAATGCATTTCAATTAACAGGTGTGCCTTGTTAAAAGTTCATTTGTGGAATTTATTTCCTTCTTAATGCGTTTGAGCCAATCAGTTGTGTTGTGACAAGGTAGGCGGGGTATACAGAAGATAGCCCTATTTGGTAAAAGACCTAGTCCATATTATGGCAAGAACAGCTCAAATAAGCAAAGAGAAACAACAGTCCATCATTACTTTAAGACATGAAGGTCAGTCAATACAGAACATTTCAAGTGCCGTCAGTCGCAGAAACCATCATGCGCCATGATGAAACTGGCTCTCATGAGGACCGCCACAGGAATGGAAGACCCAGAGTTACCTCTGCTGCAGAGGATAAGTTCATTAGAGTTACCAGCCTCAGAAATTGCAGCCCAAATAAATGCTTCACAAAGTTCAAGTAACAGACATCTCAACGTCAACTGTTCAGAGGGGACTGTGTGAATCAGGCCTTCATGGTCAAATTGTTGCAAAGAAACCACTACTTAAGGACACCAATAAGAAGAAGAGACCTGCTTGGGCCAAGAAACACGAGCAATGGACATTAGACCGGTGGAAATGTGTCCTTTGGTCTGGAGTCGAAATGTGAGATTTTTGGTTCCAACCGCCGTGTCTTTGTGAGACGCGGTGTGGGTGAACGGATGATCTCTGCATGTGTAGTTCCCACCGTAAAGCATGGAGGAGGAGGTGTTATGGTGTGGTGTGCTTTGCTGGTGACACTGTCTGTGATTTATTTTGAATTCAAGGCACACTTAACCAGCATGGCTACCACAGCATTCTGCAGTGATACGCCAAACCATCTGGTTTGGGCTTAGTGGGACTATCACTTAATTTTCAACAGTACAATGACCCAAAACACCTCCAGGCTGTGTAAGGGTATTTTACCAAGAAGGAGAGTGATGGAGTGCTGCATCAGATGACCTGGCCTCCACAATCCCCCGACCTCAACCCAATTAAAAATAAAGAAAAACCCTTGAATGAGTAGGTGTGTCCAAACTTTTGACTGGTACTGTGTGTAATATATATATATATATATATATATATATTCTGACATTGCTCATCCTAATATTTCTATATTTCTTAATACCATTCTTTTACTTTTTAGATTTGTGTGTATTGTTAGATATTACTGCACTGTTGGAGCTAGGAAAACAAGCATTTCGCTACACCCACAATAACATCTGCTAAATGTGTATGCAACCAATACAATTTGATTTGATTTTAAATAAAGCACTTAATCTCCTCTACTCTATATTCCAGTTACAATGATAGGTCATCTGGTGTTTTCCACTTAATTGACGACAACAAAAGACATAATACCATAAAAACAGGATTACGGACGAGTGAACATGTAAGACATGTATGAGCACAAGGACGGTGAAATGGATGAAAACAGGCTGGGTTCTAAGAGGGTAGGACGTTAACAGATGGTTCATATTGTCTGTTCTCTCCCCAGAAGAGCAGGCGTAATTAGAGAGCTTGGCCCTGGTAAAGGATTTGTGTCATTCTCTCACACTGTGTGCTGTTCTGTGGGGAAGAGCACAGCACAGCAGATCATTCCACTGCTGAGCAGAGCACATGCACAGCCACGCCACTCAGAGAGGGAGAGAGAGAGAGGTGCTGAAGAATAGGGAGGGGGGAGCAGGTGGGGAACATTACAATGTTAACGTTATGAAAACATAACAAAGGATTGATGCGCCATCATCACCAGCAGACCAAAATAAATAGTAGCGTAGCTCCCCCTCGCTAAGGGAACCTGACAACACAGACTGAAAGGAATACTACTGTGGATATTTTTCCAAATGTCCCTTATATAAGAAATCACCCACATACAGTATAATGATGTTTTCTGGAGCCTCATAAGCTGTTTTCCCTAGTCAGTCTGATCCCTAATAGTGTGACGCTCTCCTGTGGTCTGAGACCAGGCTGAATATGATGTACTGTTCCTTTCCCGCACTCCAAAGGTGGTATGGAGGTACTGACAAAACACACACACACGTACCCATGCACACACGTAAGCACCCACACCCACATTATACAGTACAGATCATATCATCGTTGAATAGTAAGCAGGAAACTGAGCTCTGCTATGGAGGACAAATAAAATGTTTCACACTTATCGAGTGTTCTTTCTCAACAAGGTCAAGAACATCTTCTAGCTCTTTATACAAATAACAGATGAGAATAGAGGCTGCAGCGCCCAGCTGCTAAGGTGGGGAGAAAGGCAATGATAGAACAATGATAGACTAGAAAGATTCACAAAGTACAATAAACTGCTAGTTCTACTAATGGGAATGGATCAATGGCCTGCCTCTCGACACAATACTAGGGTTGGGCGGTATCCAGATTTCCATTCCTTCATACCGTGCCATCCCGGGATTTACGGTATTACTGGTAGTGTACACAAGGGGTGCTATTTGTTATTTCTCAAATGAGAACCAGAATGCTAACAGGTGCTAAGGAATTCTCATAGCGGATGCTAGGTAAATGCTAACGAACGCATGCAAACATTTACTACCGATTTGCAAACATTTAATACCGATTCAGAGGGGTTGGGCAGACAACCCAGCTCATAAAGATCTGGAAGTATCTCAAAACGCTGTTTGCATTACGCACAAAACAAATATTAAGCAGCAGGGATCTTAATCTAGGAGGGAATTGTCTCTGCTGCTATAACCAAGAAGCTTGATCAGCCACTTAGCTAACATTAGCAAGTTAGCAAAACCCAGCTGGAGATAATTTATTTGGCACATCTTCAATAGTTAACTTAATAATAAGATATATAGCTGGCAAACAGTAGTGAATTTCATACATGTGTGACTTGATCACCTCACTTGTTGCGCTGCAGGAGTGCCACCTTACGTAACTCCCATTTTGCTCATTGTGCTTCTTTGTAAACAAAACACGTGACTGGCTCAAACCGCTGTTTTGGGAAACTAGTACCGGTAAGCTTCATAATGAAAAATGATCTAATGGGCGAAATGATGAACGCGATCTGCTTTATCTATTCCCTATCGCACAAGTTGACATTTACATTACATTTACATTTACGTCATTTAGCAGACGCTCTTATCCAGAGCGACTTACAGTTAGTGAGTGCATACATTATTATATATATATATTATTTCTTTTCATACTGGCCCCCCGTGGGAATCGAACCCACAACCCTGGCGTTGCAAACGCCATGCTCTACCAACTGAGCTACATCACTGCAGGCCATTCCCTCCCCTACCCTGGACGACGCTGGGCCAATTGTGCGCCGCCCCATGGGTCTTGACTGCAAGTATTTATTTAAAATGTACTAATATTCAAAGCCTCAAAAACGTAACTTACCAGAATAATAACAAAATGCTAACAAGTACTAAGGAATCCAAATAGAGAATGCTAACGAGCGCATTTCGAACATTTTGTCCTGTTTCTGACCTAAACTATACAAGTAAGAATAAAATGCTACTCACAGTTTGCTGCAAGCACAAAACGAATATTAGACAGCAAGGCTCTTGAACCAGAAGGGGATTCTCTGCTGTACCAAGCAAATGCTTGATTTTGGAAGAAGCTAGCTAACCACTTAGCTAGATAGCTAACTAGCTACTAAATTAGCCGATTTTTTGTTGAGCTGATGGTCGAGGGGCTGGAACATAATTACAAATAATTTGTAGACTGCACATTTTCCGCAAGAAGCCCAAACAGATAATGTTTGACTAAAACATAATATTTTCAAACCTTGCTTACATTTGTATACGATTATGTGTCTCTCTATTATGGCGTTTTTACAGTTTTTATGTCCAACAATTAAAATACAAAAAATACATTATTTATTTTGCTCAGAAAACTTGGGGGGCCAAATAAAACCACCCACAGGCCACCAGTTGGGGAACCCTGGTATATACGGTATACCGCCCAAGCCTACAATACATCTCAGCCTGCCATAAGTCACTGAACTACCATGACATCCATCATACACATTAATGGAGGGGAGAGGAATGGCTGTACTTTGATAGAAATGTGTGTTACAGTTCTTGATATAGAAAGAGAGGCACTGGCAGATTGTGAGAGTGCTCCAGACAGAAGTTGATAGAGAGGAGAAAAGGCAGAGTTTGATAGTGTGTGTGTGTGTGTGTTCCTAAATGAAAAGCATTAGAGCAAATAGACAACCAGCTGAGGAAACAGAGGGCCTGTATGGTTTTCTAAGAAATAAGTAGCTCTCAGAGAGGATACAGTTAAAGCATAAACACACAATTAGTCTTCACACCACAGACCATCCCATCTTCAGTGTGGGTAAGTGAGCACAGGTAAGAGAACACAGGTTAATAAGTGCCTGCTGCTGTAAACCACCACCACTGAGCCAGGAGGGTAGCTGAGAAGATGGTGCATCATGGATGACAAATTCAAAGACAGAAACAACAGAAGGTTTGTGCTCAAACAACTGGGGTGCGTTCAGTTCGATTAAACGTTTGCTACGTTGTGTGACGGTTTGTACTGAACGGCACGTTTCCCCAAAACGTTCAATGTTCTTGAACAGACTTTGTACTCCCTGACAAAGTCCAGAATGCGTTGGAGTTTTTAAACTTTGTTTCCATTGAACATGTCATACAAACAAAGGCATTTTAATTAATTATATATAGAGTGCCTTGGTCCTCCTTTCTTTTTGATGACCAATTTACCTCTTTTACCAAAGACCTACTATTGTGTACCATTGCAGCGCTTCCCTTCCTTCTTTTTTCTACAAGACTTTGAGGAACGTTTGGAGGGTGTGGCTCGAAGCAATGAGTGATGTATTTAAAGGGCAGCTGTGCACAACCCAACCCCTCCCAGTTTTTCAACTGGTCGTTCTGAACAGCACCGTTTCGTTTAATTAAACGTTGCAGAGTGCACACCTTTTTTCCCGTACTGAACGCAGCCCTGGAATAGAATTCAAAGACAGAGGCAGATTCCCTTTAGCCTTTTCTCTGTCATGTTCTGTTGTCATGCAAACACATATAGCATGACAACAAACATCATAGGAGTTGGCTGAAGCTTTAAACAGATCTCGCTACTGCCTACATTCCTTTGCATGTTAGTCAAATGATTGTCTGCAGGATGACATGTAGGCCATACAAGCGGCTGGATAGGAAGCTGTACCAGGCCAGGGGTTGACCTTTAGGGGCACAACACAGCCCATAGAGAGAGGGATGGCATTCCACTGGGAGTTACGGTAGGACACAGGCGAGGCCCACAAGACTCAGAGGAAGACAAGAAGCCATTGAGATAGCAGTAGCCCTATTGCCTCCTCCTGCAGCATTCCACACTCAAGAGGGAACATTCCAACAGCCTTGCATTATGGGCCGAAGTCTATAGTGGGTGATATGCTGAACATTTTGACCCATCTTTCTTATGAGGGTAGAAACTAGAATGGTATTTCTCATCCAACCTCCCTGATCAGTCATATGCAAACAGTCCCTTACCACATGAAGGGATTTGGTAGGATACATGAAATACAGTTACACATTACGGTGCCTGAAGATTCTACAGGTGAGTCTAAAACTTCTCCCTAGCATAAAGCCTGTCAACATTCTCTTCCACTATATCTCGATTGGAACTCGACAGGCATGTCATAAGTGTCCCTGTCAATTCTGGCACCTGCATGACAACTAATCTGTTAGTAAAACGCATGTCATTCATGAAGAAATGTGACAACGCAACACGTCACAATTTGCAGCTCAGCCAAACCTATAGTCCAGTTAGTGAATAAATAGGGCACTTATGAAAAGTTAGGTCATTCGAGTCATAAAACGAGAGCAACCCTTTCTTCCCGTAGGAAAAAGTTGTTGTAGATACAAATAGTCCAGGATAACAGATGATTTATGATTAGTCATAGTGACAGATTTGAAACCTTGTTATAACTGAGTGACAACTAAATGCAAAAAGAAAAGAAATGATGTCAAAAGAGAAAACGCAAACTGTCATTGGTAAAAGAATGACTAAACTGTAGCTATGATTCAGTGAAACAAAATGTAGTCGATAACAATATGTGGTGTGATTGAAGGGAGCAGGACTAGTCAGAACACCAATTTCCCAACAACCTGTCAGGCTACAATCTGTCCATTTTCTATAACAGTCTGTAACCAATCAACTTTAAACCAAATTAGCTTGTTGTGACTAAAATCAGTGTCTTAAGGAGAGGGTGTGAGGTTTTGGGAATCGACTGTAAAAACTGCAATTCAAGTCCCCTTGCTTGAGGACAACCAACCACTACCAAGTCCCCTTGCTTGAGGACAACCAACCACTACCAAGTCCCCTTGCTTGAGGACAACCAACCACTACCAAGTCCCCTTGCTTGAGGACAACCAACCACTACCAAGTCCCCTTGCTTGAGGACAACCAACCACTACCAAGTCCCCTTGCTTGAGGACAACCAACCACTACCAAGTCCCCTTGCTTGAGGACAACCAACCACTACCAAGTCCCCTTGCTTGAGGACAACCAACCACTACCTTGCATGAGAAAAGGATTCAGCAGATTCAGCGACCGACCATCCCGTGGCAGGACACGGGCCTGTAATTACTAATGCTGTCAGATGTCCTTGATCCTTTCTTTCAGTTGACTCAAACCTGTTCATTATCTGTGGTCAAAAACCTGTCATTACAGATGATTAACCACTCATAACCTAACCATGGATGGATTAGTGATACATATTCAAGGCCGTTCTCTACACCTGCACCAATATTAGGCTTAGGCTACACATTTAAAAACAGACTTAGTGAGTGTTTCCAAATGGTTAGTTTAGCTTGAATGAGACCAGCGTAATTGAACAAGGTGGGCTGTTGTCATTCGAGGTGCGTTGTCTCGCCAGCCTGCATAATCTTGTTAAACCTCTGTTTTGTCTCATGCAGCAGTCTCCTTCAGCCATGTCCCTGTGGTGGTGCCGACTCTGGACTTCATTTCCATTTTAAAATGGTGGGGGTGGCTAATGCTGCTCCATGAACCTACATTATCATCAGTACCTGTGCACCATACGTAAAAATGCACACATGACTGTAAGTCGCTTTGGATAAAAGCATCTGCTAAATGGCATATTATATTATATTATTATATATTATATTATAATTATATTATTTATTATTATATATTATCATAGATAGACTCTACGTCAGGGCGTTCATAACAAGCCTTCCTCTGCCCTTCATTCTCCAGGATCACTCACCTGCCTCCTGGCTGTCTGCCAAGCATAGACTACCTCACACACAGCACAAGCAAATGTTGTGGAGGAGAACCTGTCTCACTCACACTGTCTGCAACAGCCCATTCTGTATCTGCCAGTTATTGGCTTTTGAGCAGAGCAGCTGTATACAGTGACGGTCCTAGTCAGGCCCATTGGTCAGCATTAAACCTCTCTGCTACCCTGCATAGACAACTTTTAGGTCCTTGGTCAATTATGTCAGTTATGTCTCGACTTTGAAGACTATCATAGTCATGATCACCTCCGTAAGGTCTTGTGGAGATTTCCGTTATGCCAAGTTATTATTTTCTGTTCTGTCTGCAGTGCACTGAAATTATTTCAATAGTGTTGCAAAGTGTCTTTGCTTAGAGCCATTCTGTCCTCGAAAGTCTTTCAGCCTTGTTACTCTATTCCTCTGGAACTGCAGTTTAAATATGACAACAGTGTCGTAGACCTTCAGTGTACCCCCAGGATGAACTTGTAAATAAAACATTGCTCTCACATGAACTGTTTCAATAGAACATGCAGTTGATTCGCTCTCCAAGACTCTACAGTGCAACCACTATTTTAACCCCTTATCCTCTCTACTTTTTCTTGGCAAATCTATAGACTTGAATCTACTGTCAACGACTTCAAAATCCAGTTGCTACTATATTTATAGAGTGCATGTGTAAAATCAACCTGCCAATGTCATACTAGTTAGCCAAGTTCACAGTGGCTGACAAACAGGTCATCACACTCTTCTTTGCCCCGGGTAAAGCTCTCAACACAGGGCAATTTATTGACTCACCGGATTTTAAATCTTCCCATTTGGATCTGGATTGAGGCTGTCATCATCTGACTGTGTGGGTCTAAACGGCCACTGGCGTAATCTGATGTTTGATCTGAGAGATGAAGCTGATGGAGTGTGGAGCACGTGCCTGCTGGAAGGGCAGGATGGGGCAGCCGCAGCACAGAGGTGGGGCTAAGAGGATTAGGGCTGCTGCAAGCGGGTCCCCAGTCCCTTGGATGGTAGCGTAGCGGGTCCCCAGTCCCACCCCACACACTTCCTTAGGACCCGTGACCACCAGGATGTTTTTATGCAAGCACTAATCCCGTTATACAATCCACTGCTGGCTGACTGCTGTGGTGGCTACAGATGGAGGGGGGATTTCAAATTCCCAAAACAACAGCATAAATTAGGCCGATGGGGTGACAGGGAGGCATACGTGAAAGGCCGGGAGAGACATAATGTAGTTTCTTCTTAGATACATCATGGCATTGTTTGCTGTTTGTCTTCATTCTGTAACATGCTATAAAAATAAAAAAAAGAACAAAAGAATTCTGGACAAAATACAAGATGGTAAATAACTAGAAGGTTTGTTATTATCCCAATACTTCTATTCAAATGACTTTGACAGAGAGCTGAAATAAATGATGTACTACTCTAATGAGTCAGCTCCCTGGGCTCTGGCTCTGGTCAGACCTCCATAAGATGAACTCTGAACTATAACCCTCTCTACTGTTGTGGAACATGACTCAACTCAGTAAGCCTCAGCTCAGTCTGTCCACACAAAAACAGCCCATTGTCATGGATGGACAAAGAGTTTGACCATATAGGCTAGAGAAAAGAGAAATTAAGACAGTCATGGATGAAGACTGACTGCAGGGACCGCACACACAAACACAACTTGCAGGTTTTCTTCATCCACATACACACTGTCCAGTTTCCATGGAGGAGATTTTGGTCCTTTCTGCCATGGTGCCGGCCATCTGCAGAGAAGACATTTATAAACAAACCACATGCCATGCTCAACTATGGGCACATTTACAGAGAGTAAAATCACCCAGTTTACGTCTCAATCCAACGGTGAACTAGTTGAAGGTTCTGAGCATGTGTTCCATCTTTAAATTTAGGCTATATCAACTTGCAAAACATGAATTACCAAAAGCCACGACTCAACATATTTCTACAGCAAGTCTCAACAAACAATATTTAAAAAATCTTTATCTTTGCTGCAAATTTCAATCACAATGAACATGGAGCACAGTAACTTTCAATAGTAGGACTAGGCTAATGTTTGTACAGCATTGGCTGTTCAATCTGCCCTTCTCAGAGACGTCGTTCTCAAAAACTCCCATGGTGTGACACTGAATAGTCAGGAGAAACAAAAAGGAAGAAATACCAGTGTGTGAAAGTTGTGAGAGGCGCATCCTTTTATTTTATCTCCTGCCAACCGTAACCAAGGCCAAGAAAAAACTAATCCCCCAAATATAGGCCTACTATTCTCCCTCCCTGGCTCACCCCCTCCCTTTCTTTCCCGCTAGAGAGATTGTGGCGAGAGAAGGGGTGTTGCTGTGCATTTCAAAGCCTGCTGCTGCAGACACAGACTCATACACTCAACGCAAAGGGCACCTCGAGTGCATGGTACATCCTCTATAAAGTGGAATCAAAGAACCTGTCCCAATCGAATCGAGGGACCACAGATTGCTATCAATATGTTGTAATGTCAAAAGAAATCCATGAAACTCTGTCATTATCTGCCCTCACTAGAGGAGTCTCTCTAGTGGCGTTCAATCCCAATCTCTCCACAGCTCCTTGCATTCAATCATCTTCTCCCCACACCTAGGACACAGCAGACAGTATCCCAATCCTGCAGTGAATTTCAAAAGGCCTTCAATCGGCTGGCCTGTCTAGATGTGCACCACGGGTCAGCTCTCTAAATCCAGGCAGCTGACACCAAATCAATTATGGCACGGCTGTTGGGTAAGCAGAATGGAGACATCCATAAAGAGCTGGAGAAACCAGGCTAAATATTCAGGCGTGTTGGCCGCGGCTCAGCACTTTGTTGCTCCCTCTCACTCCATCTTGGTGCCAATTGTGCAGAACCCTCTCTGGACCAGACAAGCTGCTAATTACTTTGGTTTATTTAGCTTTTTCTTTTACAGCAAAATATCTCTGACAGCTAAGGGATGCTGAATAACAAAAAGGACATGACTTTGGTTAGGGTCTTAAGAATTTAGGCAATATGAGGCTATATGGAGTAGTATTAACTTTTCAAAACAGACACAACACTTACATTTCAAACACAAAGCGAACAAAGCAAACAACAATAATGACTTGTATTTGAAGAGATATTCAGTAAACGTAAGCCAAAGAGTGTCTGTGGCACCTCCTTCCCATAAGCACTTGTGTTTGTTACACCTTCTTGAGAAGGTGCAAGTTGCCCACTACACAGCCTAACCACCAGATAGTCGTGATGGAGGAAAAGATCAATACAGTTACATATCGCAATATTATTTTGGATGATATTATATCAACAACAAAAAAATGTAATTGTAAAATATTTTGACACCAAGTATTGATTTGTAAAAAATATATATATACAGCTGAAGTCGGAAGTTTACATACACCTTAGCCAAATACATTTAAACTCAGTTTTTCACAATTCCTGACATTTAATCCTAGTAAAAATGTCCTGTCTTAGGTCAGTTAGGATCACCACTTTATTTTAAGAATGTGAAATGTCAGAATAATTGTAGAGAGAATGATTTATTTCAGCTTTTATTTCTTTCATCACATTCCCAGTGGGTCAGAAGTTTACATACACTTAATTAGTATTTGGTGGCATTGCCTTTAAATTGTTTAACTTGGGTCAAACGTTTCGGGTAGCCTTCCACAAGCTTCCCACAATAAGTTGGGTGAATTTTGGCCCATTCCTCCTGACAGAGCTTGTGTAACTGAGTCAGGTTTGTAGGCCTCCTTGCTCGCACACACTTTTTCAGTTCTGCCCACACATTTTCTATAGGATTGAGGTCAGGGCTTTGTGATGGCCACTCCAATACCTTTACTTTGTTGTCCTTAAGCCATTTTGCCACAACTTTGGAAGTATGCTTGGGGTCATTGTCCATTTGGAAGACTCATTTGCGACCAAGCTTTAACTTCCTAACTGATGTCTTGAGATGTTGCTTCAATATATCCACATAATTTTCCTTCCTCATGATGCCATCTATTTTGTGAAGTGCACCAGTCCCTCCTGCAGCAAAGCACCCCCACAGCATGATGCTGCCACCCCCGTGCTTCAAGGTTGGGATGGTGTTCTTCGGCTTGCAAGCCATCCCCTTTTTCCTCCAAACATAACAATGGTCATTATGGCCAAACAGTTCTATTTTTGTTTCATCAGACCAGAGGACATTTCTCCAAAATGTAAGTTCTTTGTCCCCATGTGCAGTTGTAAACCGTAGTCTGGCTTTTTTAATGGCGGTTTTGGAGCAGTGGCTTCTTCCTTGCTGAGCGGCCTTTCAGGTTATGTCGATATAGAACTCGTTTTACTGTGGATATAGATACTTTTGTACCTGTTTCCTCCAGCATCTTCACAAGGTCCTTTGCTGTTGTTCTGGGATTGATTTGCACTTTTCGCACCAAAGTACGTTAATCTCTAGGAGATAGAATGCGTCTCCTGCCTTTTTTTTTTTTTTTCCTGAGCGGTATGACGGCTGTGTGTTCCCATGGTGTTTATACTTGCGTACTATTGTTTGTACAGATGAACGTGGTACCTTCAGGCATTTGGAAATTGCTCCCAAGGATGAACCAGACTTGTGGAGGTCTACCATTTTTATTCTGAGGTCTTGGCTGATTTATTTTGATTTTCCCATGATGTCAAGCAAAGAGGCACTGAGTTTGAAGGTAGGCCTTGAAATACATCCACATGTACACCTCCAATTGACTCAAATGATGTCAATTAGCCTATCAGAAGCTTCTAAAGCCATGACATAATTTTTTTCAAGCTGTTTAAAGGCACAGTCAACTTAGTGTATGTATACTTCTGACCCACTGGAATTGTGATACAGTGAATAATAAGTGAAATAATCTGTCTGTAAACAATTGTTGGAAAAATTACTTGTGTCATGCACAAAGTAGATGTCCTAACCGACTTGCCAAAACTATAGTTTATTAACAAGAAATTTGTGGAGTGGTTGAAAAACTAGTTTTAATGACTCCAACCTAAGTGTATGTAAACCTCCAACTTCAACTGTATATTTTTTGTTGCTAGGTAGCATTAGCTTGCGCTAGTCGGCTGTACCTGCACCAAAACTCTGGTATTTTTTCATTCTATAGCTTGTTCTCCATCTTTGTAAATAGTGAGCCAACATGTTTTCAGCACTTTTATTTCCATGACTGATCAAAACGAATCTTCTCATGCTCTTCTTGTATCTCTGCAGCATACAAAGTTAGCAATATGTTTGGAACATCAAATCGCAATACATACTGTCCAGTATAGAATTGTGAGAATCGCAAGACGTATCTGCACCTAAGTATCTTTATAATATCGTATTGTCAGATTTCAACACTGGCCGAGATCATAACTCGGTAGGACGTCTTCTATCGAATGAGCCATTGATCATATTTTTCTTTATATTCCTACCTCGAGAAATGTGTAATTTAACGGAGGGTCTAGCACATTTTTCCTATTTGCCTGCCTCTTTTGTCCAGGGTGCATTGCATGGTGCCGTTGCCAGAGACATTATAGAAAGGAGATAGGAATCCAATGAATGAAGGAACATATAACGCCCCACCCAGCTGATTGTCGACCAATCACGTTCACGTTGTCATGCTGCGTCACACGTTTGCCAAGCTAATCATCACACAATCCTTTCTCAAAGTCAGGGTATATGTCGAGAAACGTGCCTATCTACTAAGTTAATTATCTCACATCTCTGAAGATATTTGTAATGCTGTACTTATTGTTGACGAAATTCATGCTAACGTTGGGTTTTTGAGGTAGCGCCCAATAGACTCCCATTCACTCCTTGATGGAGCGCGCTCCTTGTCCCAGAATATCCCAGAATGCCCATTGACGGCCCACAGCGCGGCCCAGTCTTGGTTTCTTGCACATAAATATCAGAAGTCTACTTCCTAAGTTTGAGTTATTCACTGCGTTAGCACACTCTGCCAACCCTGATGTTCTAGCAGTGTCTGAATCCTGGCTCAGGAAGGCCACCAAAAATTCTGAAATTTCCATCCCCAACTATAACATTTTCCGTCTAGATAGAACTGCCAAAGGGGGTGGAGTTGCAATCTACTGTAGAGATAGCCTGCAGAGCTCTATCATACTATCCAGGTCTGTGCCCAAACAGTTTGAGCTTCTACTTCTAAAAATCCACCTTTCCAGAAATAAGTCTCTCACTGTTGCCGCTTGCTACAGACCCCCCTCAGCCCCCAGCTGTGCCCTGGACACCATATGTGAATTGATTGCCCCCCATTTATCCTCAGAGTTTGTACTGCTTGGTGACCTAAATTGGGATATGCTTAATACCCCAGCCATCCTACAATCCAAGCTAGATGCCCTCAACCTCACGCAAATTATCAACGAACCTACCAGGTACAACCCTAAATCCGTAAACATGGGTACCCTCATAGATATCATCCTGACTAACATACCCTCTAAATACACCTCAGCTGTCTTCAACCAGGATCTCAGCGATCACTGCCTTATTGCCTGCGTCCGTAACGGGTCCGCGGTCAAACGACCACCCCTCATCACTGTCAAACGCTCCCTAAAACACTTTAGCGAGCATGCCTTCCTAATTGACCTGGCCCAGGTATCCTGGATGGATATAGATCTCATTCCGTCAGTAGAGGATGCCTGGTTGTTCCTTAAAAGTAATTTCCTCTCAATCTTAAATAAACATGCCCCATTCAAAAAATACAGAACTAAGAACCGATATAGCCCCTGGTTCTCCTCAGACTTGACTGCCCTTGACCAGCACAAAAACATCCTGTGGCG